GTTTGCCTTAGGGCCATCGCTACTGTACCTCCTTCTATATGAACTATTCCGTCGATTCGATAATCACACCAACTCCTCACAGACGTGTAACAGTACTCAACTTCCAAGACGTATTTCTCTGCAGTGCTGAAAACATTGCACAGTGGTTAGGACGCTGGTCGACCGTGCACATGGTCCTGGTTTCGATCCACAGCTGACGCACATCTGATATCAGTGGTCGGCCTACTAAATTTGGACCACCGATATTGCATGCTGAAAAATCCATACTTGTACCAAAATACTGTGTGGAACCAAGCTACAATAAAATAAATAAAAAATAAATGGAAATCATACCCAGTAATTTTCCGTCTCCACAGCCGTCGATTTCACTCAAGCCCTTAATATTTAATAATGGCACACAAAGAGGATATTCGTCAGCTGTAGTTCCGACCTGGCAAATAAAGCACCTGAAATACAACGAACCAAGCGTGCACCTTACCAGTCCGAACGCTAATTCGTTTTCTATATTGTGTGCACCTAAGCAACTGTACATCATCTGCTTCTGAACGCCGTTTCAGATGCATGAAAGCACGCTACGCGTTAGCATTCTATTGTCTAAAAGGAATTTAAAAATATGATCTGGATATGAATTACTCTTTAATTGGTGAATGCTGTTCAAAGTGGCCCATTAGTAACAGCATTCCTTGTTATTCAATATCTGGCATGCGTTCGTGGGCCATGATGTCTTAAGCTGGTCATGAAAACAACAATAAACCTTAATTTAACGGTAAATTAATGAGATAAAAGGAATTAACCGGTCGACGTGATAACACTCTGGTGACCTCGAATATTATGGCACCACTATCTACTGTACATTACAAATACTGCGCGTATTTGATGCATTTACACAAACTGTGTTCTTCAGATATGGAAATACTTTTGGCGTTTCATTACCACAACTGTGTAATTATTATCACAGTGTATGTCAGCGTCGTAAGCACGTCACAGCCAGTGTCAGTTAGATATGAGCCACAAATGGATAGTTCATCACAATTTCTAATGTAGCTGGTACCTGTAGATGCAAAGTGCTCGGATAGTATGCAAACACGAACTTGCTGATTAGAAAGTAGAAGCCTACAGTCCAAGTTTTTCTCAACGGAATCATACAATAATATCTTGAAATGATTCGGAAAAGTAGTTTTGTCCAAGAAAGATTCGATGAAACTACAAAAATTACTTTTTGTGGTTACCCCAGGTAAAAATCAACAAGATATGGTGGCCTACGGAAACGTCTTCGAGTTATTAAATGACACCTGCTTAAAGTAACTAAGGGAATTAAGCTTTCTGTATGTGAACTCCCTCTTGATTCATGTAACACAGTCCCACTTGATTTATCCTTCAGAGTTTTCTGCACGGCGAAATTCAAGCAAGCTAAATGTTTATCCTGTCACGGCAAGTGATAGCGGAAGCTCCGGCTACCGATGAACCAAATCTCAAAACGATGACCCACTGAATGCTTTGGCGATATAACTAAATTCAGTAATCACCACAAGCACTCGCGCATATGTCTAACTGGTTTTCAGGAAAAAGCCACGCAATTCTGGAGGGAAATGTGGGAAGGGTATCGTAAGGAAAGGGGCTTTGTGCACACAGAACAATAATGCGTCACGCGATAAGGTGCGGACTATAATTTACTTGTAAGTCCTGTACGAAAAATAAAAATTTTGCAGCTGAATACACTGAGAATTTGAGTAATGTTTACTTGTTTGGTGTTTGAAGAAAATCTTTAATAATATTAGGAACAAATATACATTAGGGAACACGGCATTGGTGAAATCAGCTGATCACTATACATGTATGAGAGACCATCAAATATAATACCATTATATAATCGCATATAATTTGACTTCGAGCTAGTTTTCAATTATGCCGCAGTCAGCAGATGTGGCTGGTGTGGAGAATGATCCAGCTGCGCTAAGGATAGGATGTTTTCTGCAAGAACTCAATATAGAAATAAAGGCAATGAAACGACAAATCTTATATTAAATGTTGATCTTGGAGTCCTTCAGCTGGTAAACGGTAGAACCAGTTCTAAGAAGGCATCACAAAAAGTACTCAGTTTTATTTCTGAACTTCATAGTGACATAATTTAAGCTCGTGAACCAACTATTTGGACCACTGGCTCATTTCTGCGGTTTGTGTAACACATCCACAGGCTGTTTGTTCTATCTACGGCCAGTGTATTCCGTTCACAGAGTATGCTTTTATCTCGTTTCGGGATGCACTTAACACTTCATGTTCGCAGGCTTTCGGGTGCGGCTGTTTAGATAACTTCGTTTAACGTATTAAATAAATGGTTTTTTAACGAGTACTGTTTAAGAACCCAACTTTCACCGCATTTCGCCATTTTGGAAGTAAGTTTGACTAACTATTAAAACCCACCCAGATCCACATCTAAGAACTTTACCATACGTACAGCAACAAACTTGACTGACCAAACTGACCAAAAATCAGATTACAAATACAAAGGAATAATTCAGTAGACAAATGATGAGTGGGCGTAGATGGTTTAGACGTTAAATAGTATAGTAAAGACATGCTATTATCCAGTTGAATTTTACTCATTTGATGTTGAAAAGAAGCAGTTAGTTGTTTGAAAACACTAAATTTGTATTCGAAGATATCTCAGAACCCATGCTTTTTCTTAGCTGAGTTGCGTGTTTAGTTAGCTTGAGATAATCCAAAAAACGTCTGTGGTCATCACACAATTCTGAGGTAGCAGATGCAGTGTGAAGACAGTGATATTTGTCTTTCACTTCTCATGCTTCATGCATTTTGTGATTTTTCGAATTATTTAACAATACAAGTCGAAATGATATTCTAATGCAATCCCTGGCATATTCTGAATGAATTAATTCGCCTATCTCCGAAACGGTTTGTTAGCGTTACTGGTAATTTATAGTCATCATGACACTAGAATTATCATCTAGTATTAGTTACCTGGTTACATGAATACATACAGCTAAGAGACAAAAGTAAAGCCTAGGTGCTAGTGCATATTGAATTTACTTTCCAACAGACGTGGAAAAGAGCCATCCTTTCTCCGATCTTCAAGGGTGGGGACAGGCAAAACGCTGCTAGCTATAGACCAGTAGCTCTACTCCCAGTGGTATCAAAAGTACTGGAAAGTATTATTGACGACCACATCAGGGAATATTTCGATAGGACTAATATACTGCATGAAGCCCAACATGGTTTCAGAAAAGGCAGATCCTGCGTCACTAACCTACTGTCAGCTTGGGACGACTGGACATCATGCTGGGACTTGAACGTACCAGTCCATGTGGTCTTCCTAGACTTTGAGAAGGCGTTTGACACTGTTCACCATGACCTTCTCCTACATAAAATAAGACAGGCAGGCATAGGTGAGCCACTTCTGTCATGGTTGAAGGACTACCTAGCCGACAGGCAATTTTGCACTAAGGTTAACCGAGTCCGATCATCTTGGCACAGATCGTCATCAGGAGTGTCGCAGGGTTCTATCCTAGGACCACTGATGTTTTTGATTTTCATCAATGATCTACCACGCCGTCTGAGCTGCCCGACTCTCCTGTACGCTGACGACGTAAAAATATGGAGGGCGATAAAGTGTCCGGAGGACTCAGATAGGCTACAGGAAGACCTAAACCTTCTGGAAGACTGGGCGGTGGCCAGTGGCATGACTTTCAACTTGAAAAAGTGCAAAGTAGTGAAGTTGCGCACCTGTAGACTGCAGAATGCAAGTTACACCCTGTGCAATGAAAGCTTGTCCTGCACAACGTCGGAACGCGACTTAGGTCTAGTTCTAACGGAAAAAATGGACACAAGCGTAAATTACACAGGGGATGTAGCGAGGGCATATGCGGTCATACACTTTACGCATAGACAGTTAGGTGCACTCACTCCTGAGCTCTTTCTAATGTTGTACAAAACATACGTCAGGCCACACCTTGAGGTGCATAATATTATTGCACCCCCAATGCTGAGAAGAGATGCCAACCTCTTGGAAAGAGTCCAACGACGGGCAACAAAAGGAGTGGTTGGTCTCCGAAACAAACCATATGATGAAAGGCTGAAGAAATTAGGCCTGTTCACACTTAGTTACCGTCGGCTTAGGGGGGATTTGATTACTGCCTACAAAATAACAAATGACCAGAATCACCCAAACAAAGGTGTTCTGCCATTGAGTAGGTATAGGCTTCCACGTGGAAATCCCAGAAGGATAGCTCACCAGAGGGCAAGGACCCGGGTGCGCTCCCACTTCTTTTCACTGCGGGTTTGTCGTCCCTGGAATTCCTTACCGGCAGATGTAGCTATGGCACCGTCTTTGGACGCCTTTAAGCGAAGGCTGGACAACCATGCAGCGATACAAGGACTGCATCCAAATGGCCTATCTCCTTAAAATCGCATTTACCAATCAGGGTAGATAATTAAACTCGTCATTTTACTTCTTTACATTCTCTCCCGTCTTACTCTCCTGACAACTTATTAATATTATAATTACTATTATTATTATTACTATTACCGATATATATATTATTCTTCAAACTTAATGAGCTGACTGTTGTTACGTTTCCTATTTTCGTTTCTGTCTCTTAGTCTGAATAGCTTCACTAATTATATCTATTATTATTATTATTACTATTATTATTATTATTATTACTATCTCTTTTCTCTTGTCGACAATACCGAAGGACTAACTGGCGAAAGGATCAACTCCAATCACAGTAGTAACAGTCTTAACATACCTCATACTACAAACCACATATAATTAATCCCAGCACTACTCCCTTTGGAGTCAACCAAAGCTACGACAGTCGAGTGGCGGGACAAGCTACGCAGAAGTTTACCGAAGATCAAGAACCTATACCTCACAATCAAGAGGCGAGCACAAAGAAATCAAATTGGTTTATACTAGCTCGTAAAAACGATATTGGATATTGGATATTGGACGTAAACCCGTTAATTGTATTTAGGCACTTCAGAGAGCATCTTAAATGAACTGAAAGAATTTTATTTATCAATATATAAACATCAAGAAGGAAAATGGTTTTAAGACAACGGGCTTGACACTACTTAGTCATTAGAACATTGTACATTCCAGCACTACAGATAAATAAATGCGTCACTACAGCTCAGTTCTGCAGAAGGCGCGCTTTTAGAGATGGGCTCTCCTTGTTGACTTGTTCAATAGTTTCCCTTGTTAAGGGATATGGCAGAGATCGACTTCTTGTCTGCTGAGCTTGATCATGATGAAGAATCAAGAGATGAGGAAGGAGACAGTATTAACTCACTCGTTTTGAGTAAAAAGATATCTCAGCCATTGGATCATCCGGTTAGTTGATTTTTCTTTATGTGATAATAACAGACTAAGGATACCAAGTTTTCCAGTGTAAAAGAGTAGGTTTTGAATCGTCCTTTATTATCGTATCAGGGAAACCATCAAACAGGAGACTGTTGAGATTTGTCAGAAGACTGTCAACCCTAACAACCGTGTTAATGCTGAAAACTTCAATATACAACGCGTAATTGGCAAAGGCGGCTACGGAAAGGTTCGTGGAACTTCTGTGGCTTAGTGTGCAGGTTTTTCTAGTCCAAAAAGTAGATGGCATCGACCAGGGGAAACTATACGCTATGAAGGTTTTGAAAAAAGCCAGGCTTGTATGCAATGAAAAAGACAAAGCTCACACGGTTTCGGAAAGAAACATCCTTGAAATTTTACAGGTGAGTAATGTATTCGCCTTATCGTCTCTTAGCACCCGTTCCTAGTGAAACTCCATTATGCCTTTCAAAATCATTCAAATCTGTACATTGTTCTTGAATATTGTCACGGGGGAGAACTTTTTAATTATTTAGAACGTGAAGGGGCCTTGCTGGAAAATGCTGCATGGTAACAGAAATTTTGCGTCATATAATTAAGATAGCTTTTATGCTTCTGAAATAGTCCTAGCCATCGGACACTTACATTCATTAGGTATAATCTACAGAGATCTTAAGTCTGAAAACGTGCTACTGGATCGTCAAGGACATGTAAAGCTTACTGACTTTGGATTATCTAAGGAGGGCGTGTGTACCACAAACACTTTTTGCGGGACAATTGAGTACATGTAAGTCCGGAATCTGTCTAACTGTTCAGGGCTCCTGAGATAATTCGTTGTGAAGGTCACGGAAAAGCAGTGGATTGGTGGAGCCTTGGTACCCTTATCTTTGACATGTTGTCAGGCGCAGTAAGTTGTGTTTGTGCTGGGTCTGACTTTTATCCTAGCCCCCGTTTAGCCAAGAAGAAAGCCGTGAAGCTACTACCCACAAGGTGAGTTTTTCTTTAGTTTATTTATTTTTGGTAGATTCTCACAGCTCCTTTGAGGTTCCCTCCATCTTTTTCATCGGAAGTTATTAGTCTAATACGTGGCTTATTGAGGCGTGACCCGAATGAGAGGTTGGGAAGTAAAGAAGATGTTGATGAAATAAAGAGACACAAGTTTTTCAAAAGACACGTAAGTCAGCTGAACGCACCGAAAATTTGTCTCTATAATTGTAATACGGAACAACCAGATACATATCAGTTTATGTTACAAAATTGTTGGTTATCTCAGAAGCCTTAACATTTATGTGTTGCCATTCGTTAAACCGATAATTTGTTTGGGGTTCTTTAGATGCTAAGAATTAGTGGTTTGCTGATGACAACTGAAAATCATTCTAAGGCTAAATTGTATTAATTCCTCGTGGCCTAGGTTCGGAAAATCTTGGTTAACCTTCATCCAACCATTCTCTATCCTGTATTCGTCGACTGAAGTTTCACTGCAACTCCCCCGCCTTCTGCTTTCCACAACTGCCGTAGCTTAAACTAGTGCACTTGCATAAGGTTTCATGTTATAAAGTTGACCGGTCAGTCCTTAGAAAAGGCATAGAAATGTCTCAGTCACAGTTTAACTGACTTTATTTTCCATTTGTAATTTGACCAACAACTTTATACAAAGCGAGGGTTGTTCACTATGTTTAGCTTTATCTCCTTAATAGCCAAGTATAACTAGCGGTCATAATAGCATATCTGTGTAGATTAAGGTGTTAGCGTCTGCGAGTTTAATTTATACACTAAAAGAAATTTTTATTTTTCAGGAAATCAATTGGTCTGATGTATACCACCGGCGCTTGAAACCACCTTTCCGTCCCAAGCTCACCGCAGAAAATGATGTCTCCATGTTTGACCCATCATTCACACGTCTACAGCCGGTCGTTAGCCCAGTTGATGGCGTCGCGTCCATTCCTCCGGATATGTTCCAGGTCAGTTTACATTTTAATTCCGTACTTGTAACATTGGGCGTCTAACTAATATATGGAACATCTTCGAGGTAACCATTGTATGTGACAGAGGCAAATAAAAGAATGAAATTATTAAGCACTTACATATCTAAATTTGTCAACCTATACAGCTAGGCATCCTATCCGTTTTAGGTTTGCCATTTTATTAGCTATGATGTCTTGCAGACTGAAAAAGGTACTTAACTGGTACTTGCGACTACAAGTATTCTAAATTCGTCTACTTGGGTGCATTACCAGATAATGACAACGTGAAACGGAGAAATATAATAATAATAATAATTTTTGCTTTATCCCAAAAACAATACTAATGATACAGCAAGGAATTTTCAGCATTCAGTACAATATTGCATCTAATTTACTCAAAACGACAAAAGATAAACATTACATAATAATAATAACAAAACGTTGTTATAGCAGCTATGTAGCAATTACAGTATCCGATAAGGAGAAAAGTATGCATAAAGTATAAAATTGTAGAAATAGTAGTAATAACAACTAAAATAAAATCGCTAAGTAATAATTAAACGATAGAAAGGTTGGCACCATAAAATTACAGAAAAATAAACGATGAAAGGGTCGATTCACTTTGCTAATTACATAGTAACTTATATGTTTCAGGTCTAACAATGTCTTCGCCACATAAAATACGAGCTAAATAGGATATTGCAGGATTTTTGTACTTAGTGTTGTGAGCATATAACTTCTCATATTGACTTCTCGTCCCACCTGATGAGATGCAAGGGGATAGTTGTGAAGAAAGGGGGTGTCTCTCGACCATAATATTGGTGAGCTCACGCAGTGGCATACCACAAGGCCTACTCACGGCATTTAATTTACCCTTTGTAATATAATATAGTCCTTTTTGAGAAGCCCAGAAAAGATAGATGGAGAGCAATAGAGTACAATAGGTGAAATACAGGAGTTTACAAACTGCAGAAGTAAAGGTTGGTCGATACCTGATTGTCTTAACTTTTTAAAGTAGAAGGTAAGACGAAACATTTTCTTAGATTGATAAGATGTGGGGTGACCATGAAAGGTCAGAGGGAAGAACTAATCCAAGGTATTTAGTGCTTGACTTGGTTTCAATTTCAGTGCCATCTTTGCTACAGGCGTCATAGGAACTAATTATTTCATGCATGTCACGTCGATGCTTGAAGGTAAAGTTAACTGCCTGACATTTGGGAGGATTTAAAATATGACCATTTGACTTAGACCACTTGCTGATGTCCAACAGAAAGCTATGAAGTTTGGAGCAGTCAGACTCGGAAGTGATAGGCAGTGATACAGTCAGATCATCTGCATATTTGACAAAGTTTCGTTTCAATGAGGCAAGTCGTGTAGGAAGAAAGAAAAAAAGAAAAGGAGAGTAGACGGCACCTTGAGGAACACCGGCTTTAGTAAGCGAGGCAGAAGATTTGCCATTATATACAGCATACTGCATTCTATCATAAAAATAAGGATGCAACCAACTCTTAGCCCAGGATCCTGTTTGCGTCAACGAAAGCTTATGTAATAAAAGGCCCCTAGGTACAGAGTCAAAAGCAGATGTGTATTCTAGGAAAGCACCATGTCTATGCTTGTGGAATGTGGATGTTCTCCACCTTTTTCTCACTACTGCTTCTTATACAAAGCTTTATTCTTGATTGGTATCATTTCCACACAGGACTGATGTTCTACTTTCCTTCATATTCATTAATCACTAGTTTGTGTGGAAGAAATGTATGTGTGAATTTCGGTAGTGCTGTGTGATTTAACTGAAGGCTAGATTCTTTATGAATTATGTGGAACATACTTTAAGTGTGAGACTGGGTTTTGTGTATGATTGACAGTAAAACGTTTCACATGCCTAATGAACATAGTAAAGAATTTTTTGATTGGAATGGTTGTATATAGGTGTATTCATGTATAAACTCTGTGCAGCATGGACATCAAGAAACACTAGATCAAAGTGCTGCTAAAATAGTGCTACATGCAGAAGGCTTAGTGCCAAATCCTTCAGAATGAATCAATATAGTTGAGCAATCACATGTTTCTCAAGTATATGCCTCCAATTCTTGTCTTTCTAACTCGTACATAATACATCAAGACATTAGTGCATTTTTTATTTTTCCCTCATGTTCCCTGTGGAACATAGGGCCTCAAGCTAGTGGGCTTGAAGTTTCTGTAGCAGTGTTTATTTTTACAGGATGGGGTTGCTAGTGCCATGCCCAACCTTTCCTTTTTACCAGTATTATTTCTGGCTTAACGAGGTAAAGGAGTTTGTCGGTGGCCGGGGATCGAACCCCGGACCATGTCCATGGTCGGCGAGCGCCCTAACCGCTGTGCCACCGACGCACTCATTAATGCCTAATGGTCTCCTTTTCTGTATATCATATAAGCATAGGAGAGAAAAATTAGGAAGGAATATCATACTATCGGTAGTGGTTAAAAATAAGTATTTGCGAAATACGCTGTAGCCAATTCTGACAAAAGTTTACTCTCAGCAGTAACATGTATTCAGAATACATTCGTTTCTATAGTTGAGTTGTAGCTCATTGTTCTACGCGCTTGACTTTCAACTATTGAGTCACGAGTTTGAACTGTTGTACATATGAAAGTGTGCACTTCCACATGATGTATCACTAGTCTTCATACAATAGGTGTGGCCCATTGCCAACTGCATGGAGTTGCGGGTGGTCGTTCAGTTTCTTGTTTGTATATTTCTCGGTAACGAATCCCTAATTCTCATTACTTCACTGAGTTTTCTTCAATAGGGATTGATATTTACCAATCAAAGTCAATTCATTTATTGAGTGGGGCATACTAACCGTACGCGTGAAAACGAAGTGCAAGAGACATTGTCCATCTCCTACATTGCTTTATTTTCTTTCAAATCAACCACTTATTGAAAGGATTGTTCTGCCTCAAAGTGGTCTCTATTTTGACACAGTCACAATACACTTCTATTATCCGTCATTTTTAATTGTCTGCTGGATTGTAGGGCTAAACGTTTTTGTGTTTATATTCATCCTGTATTTCATTTTTAACTGGAAGCGATAGACTACCAGGTTATTAATCTAACTAATTGCCACCAGCTCAAGAGGAAGTATGCATGTTTTCCCATCTTTGGAGGACCGAATGATTTACCTTGCTCTAGCGGCTATTTATACGTCTAGTTTGATAAGCTACAGTGAACCTATAATTCAGCGTTTTCTGGAGTTGTAATAGAGTAGTTGTTCGGCGATTCAATTAGGAGCATAAATGTCAGTTGTATTTGAAACCTTAGATGCAGTGTAATGCCTGTAGTTCTGCACATTTTTTAGACAGCTGAAGGCATATTGTGTTATATTAGTGACGCTATTTTTGACCTAATGTAATTGTATTAATACCTGTATATTAGCGTTAGTATTCTGTTTATATCATATAGTTCCGGAATCCTTCTTAGTGGTTAAGACTGCAGTACAACGTCAAAATGCAAGCCAAGTATTCATTTGTTCTGTTAGTGTTGATCAAGGCGAAAATTATCCAGAACTGGATGCATCGAATCAAAATCCTTCTCTCCAGAGGTGAGACCACTGGTACACATCATCTAAGGGTGAATGTAAACGAATGCTATGGCGATGGTCTTTATTATTACACACGAGTCAACCACTTATTTATTGAAATCTTTATTTACCTATTTATTTATCGATCAGGGCTTTTCGTATGTAGCACCTAGTGTTTGTGAAGACAGTTTGCGTGACACATGGACGGATAATTTATCAAGTCGCCATCGAAGACATGGGTATGTATTCATATATTTTTGATTTTCCCTAACTCCATTTTTGCTGCAATATATATATATATATATATATATATATATATATATATTGATTTTCATTGACCGGTCTGTGTTCAGTATATAGCAAAGTGAAATCTGTAATTCTGTTAGGGCACTGATACTTCTCGGCTTTCTGTCACAGGCGCATCTTCTAATAGTACAGTGTCTAGTCAGTCAGTAATATCGAAATTTTAAAGGTTAAGAAATCAGAAGTGCTAAATGATGAGAAGAGTTTGTCAAAATGCTAATAATTTTGCAACTCAATATATTTGGCACTTCATTTGCCATGTAAACTTCCAAGAGTTGACTGTCTCCCCATTTTTGGTATTTGCTGTTATTGTATGAACATTCCTCTCATTCCTTTCGTTCGGTTGAAGTGAAGTGTGTCACGCATCTGTTTCTCGACTTTAATAAAATAAAAGTGGTTTATAACAAAGCATTTTCTGTTTCTGTAGCATTGGTTGTATACAACCTACAGAAGAGAGAGAGAGAGGAGTATTGTATGCAATAGCCTACAATCGGTCTTCTCTATCAACACTTTCAAACATTTTTTGATGCAGTACATAGTGAGATATCATGCGGTGAGCACGCGTCGGTAGCTTAGCCGTAGAATGCTAACCAACCACGCATGTAGTCTGGGGTTCGATCCCCGGCCGACTCACTCCTTTACCTCTCTAACCTGCTGGTAATAAGAGGGAAGGTTGAGGATGAGGCTAGCAAGCCCACCTCGTAAAAAAAACTTCGAAGCTTTAGCTTAAAGCTTTATGTTCCACTGGGAACGTAAAGAAAGAAAACACGTGGTAAGCACATTTGTAAGGGTAAAAGGTATAAAATCTAGTAACTGTTATAATGGGTTAGGACCTCAATTACATCGTTACTATTGAATCTCAGTTCAGAAACTCAATCCACTTACTGTCTGTCATATTAGTGATGATAGCAGAGTGAACGCAAGCACTGGCATGCAAACAACTTTAATTGTTTGATGCCTGGATTAATAGAGTTTTTTTCTCTAGACAGTACTATTAATAAATTACAGTTGAAATAACAGTTGAAGTGCACCTCTTCTGTACTTTGCTGTACTGTACTGAGGAACTGTCGAGACCTCATATTAAATTAGGGAGAAACTTCAACAGAAACTAGGAACCACCAGTAGAATCTTAAGATGATGCAGTAAAAATGTAGCAAGTGGAATAACCGAGTGATCTGACTGCAGCACTGGGTGGGTTACGTGGGTTCGAACTTTAGAGAGGATATCAGCTCCTTTAAGATTGTAGGCACGCCTTGCCATTGTGGTCTCAATTCCCTAAGCTTGATAATCAAATTGCAAATGCTATCGAAAGAAATCAACAAGCTTTTATGTATGGATCACACGTGATATAGGTTAGTCAATATATTCAGTTCAATTCTATAAAAGATACACTACAACACGAATAGCTCATTTGATTAAGTGCGTCGATAGACACTAACGTTTCACTTATCTGACAAATGGATAATTCCGTCAACGTTTCGGGTACGTGTTTTTGATGAGTCTCAAAAAGTGCAGAGCCTTTGTTCAAAGACCCAGAATAATTAGCTCCTAAAAATTAGTCATAATGTAGAATCCCTACTTTCTAGTTATCATTTTTCACGCGTAATTTGCTTAGTATTTTTGGCAGAGAAAAACTTGCAGACCAGACTTGAATAATTGGTCGGATTAGGTGACAGTCTACCTTGAGCGCTCACACATATGCTTCACTAATTACACACGTTCATATTATAATCCGGCGTTTTTGCGTTGATTTGTAACCTGTCTTGTTTTTTTTGCTTAGATTGCGTGGCGCTATGTCTGCCGGTCGTTTAAGACGTATTGGATTCGGTAATTTGAATGCGCCTAACCGAATACCTGAAGATATCGTAGTCCACAACATTCCATTGCAAATTCAGCCTGAACTTCACGAAGATTTTCATGATTTTAACGCAGACTATAGGCGTAAACCTGCACCATGTCAGCCTAATAATTTATTATCTCAAGGTGACAATACTTGTTCATCTAATCAACAACAATTAAGTAAGACTGATCAATCTTGTAGTGAATTGGGAGAAAGTCAAACGGTTAAGCGCAATGGAACTGTTGTAGTTGACGAAGATGACGATGATGATGAGATTGCTGAAGAAGATAATGTACCAGGCGCAAAACAAATACAATCAGCTACTGCGTCTAGATATTTACCTTTGTGTAAATATGACCCAACAAACAACGGTGTAACCACTAGCAATAAAAGCATTTATCCCTCTACAAAACCATTGGATAAACATCCTACTAAACAAGCACCACCTCTTAGTGGTGGTGGTGGTGGTTCACTCCAGTCTCATAGAGAAGTGTATACAAATACAAAAATGTTAATTCCACGTCCAATTCTTGGTGGTCATGTTGGAGCTTATTTGCCTAATAAATCTCTAAATGTATTACCGCCACATCCTACTGGATTACAGACAGGATCACGTGTCATTTCACCAGTACAACGTCGAGGTCCAACATGTGCAACAATGCATACTGGTATACCTGTACCTGCTAATAATACTGTTAACAGTGCAGTACCTGCAAATGGGTCATCTAACGCGAAATGTAGTATTATGTAACGGATAACAAGGGAATTTTCCCCCCTTATAATATCTACTGTTTATATTCAATAACAACTTCTGTGATTCCTATGTAAGTAAGGCTAAATAAAATTAATATTTGTCTACTGTATTGCTGGACTCATTACCTTGCTGTGCTCCGTTTGTATCGTCAAATTCCTACACAATATGATATACTTAAGCGATTGATTAGTATATCTGTATTGTATTCATCTCTTACTCTCATCCCCTTTTACTTTAATACTCTCTCTCTCTCTGATGGACATAATAGTATTTTAAGTGTATCTAGAACTATTCCCTAGTCTACTTATATCTATTGCCATATATATATATATATATAGAGAGAGAGAGAGAGAGAGAGTACAGATACGTCAACATTTTTTAAATTTGCTATCAACAAACAAGTGTACATAAAACTTTTAATTTTTCTTTCTTTTGAATTCATTTCTGTTCTTTTTTCTCCTCATTTCATTCAGTTGCTGACTTACTTACTGTTGGCCACCATATTTGTATTTAGTGTAGCGCCAATTTTCCTAGTTTACTCTTATGTTTTGTTATTGACTAGTTGTTAATTGTTTCGAACCCTCTTTGGACGCTTGTCGGAGAGAGGAATCTTTTTTCAAGTGTGTGTGTGTGTGTGTTCTGTTCATATTCTCACTGTGTGTGTGTATGATACTCAGTAAATGTGGGCAGCATATTACTCTACCACTCATACGTTTATTTATTTGATTATACTTCTACAAAGTTCTCCATATTTCTTCCTCCACGTGTGTTGATTACCTATTCTGGAGAGAGTGTGAACAAAGAACAAAAAAAAAACAACAGCACACACAAGACAGAGATGATCAGTTTTGATTTTATGCTGAAATACCAAATTTGTTGATTTATTTATTATTCAATCTTCTTATCCTACTTGTTCTTTTCCTGTGTCATGTATTATTATTATTAATTATCATAACCATTGATTGGCATGAATACAGAGAAATGAACACTTGTGTATAATGCATATATTTGTTGCTTTTGTTCCCCTCTTAACAAGTGTGGATTTCTGGGCGTACAGTTGAAGACTAAAATTCACGTGATGTGACTTATTTAAAAAAAAAGAATTGAATTATATGTAATAACTATTTAGGGCTTCAGTCCACCTAGTAATAGTAAATCCAGCTAAGGACAATATGGCATAACACAAAAATAAAACTAGTTTCGGAATTAGAAACTGCCTGTTTGAATATGAAAAGTTAGGTGTCATCTTTCTTGTTAGTGTGTAGTTCGTGAACAGTGTTCACAGTTGTCGATTTTGTCAATTTTATTATGTGCGTCATGGATCGTTGTAGACAGTTTTTGTGTTTAAATTCAGTGTTTCGTAATGTAAGTATGAGTACAGTTGCAAATTATCGGTCTACGTACTCAACCTTTAACGATTAGGTTGAAGGTTTGAGCAACCTAGTCATCTAAGTAGCTAGGTAACATGTGCAATTGCTAAACAGGTTCAATTTCAGGTCAAATTTCACGTATGGTTTGTAGCCCATTACCTGGGTGGTCTAAGACGTTGTGTTCAGGTCGCAGTTCACCCTATGGGTGTGACACCACTTTTAACGTGAAGTTGAACTTGGATCCGTGAGTGACATAGAGGAGTTAGTGGGAGCAAAAAATGAAAGCTTGTGGATAATTGTGGAGGCAGCTAAAGACGACTTCAGAGATGTGCTGCCGAAACCCTATGTTTCATTCGGAACCCAAGGGAATAATAAACATCATTAGTAGGCTCCGTCTATTCTATTGCTCGTAAGTTTACTAATTCTTCTTCAGCCATACTTATGCCTCAGGTTTCCTTAGTGTATCATTTTTAAAAATGAACTAATCGTAGACTGTTATTATGTTAACAGTTCATAATTCAGATGTTGTGTTACCACATCATTCCAGATACAGTAATGCATAACAGTCCTTTTAAGCTGAACTTTGTCAGCTTGGTATTGCCTCCTTGAACTTGTTGAATCACGACCGTGGTAGTGATTGTCTTTTAACCAAATAGATGTTGAGTGTTTTGGAGTAACAGAGTGATTTAGCTGAACTATGTTGTAGATTATTACATAGACCAAGTAAGTTGTAGTGACATGAAAATATTTTGCGTTTAACTGTCAAATTTCTCAGAATCAAGGAAATATATATACACAATACCGAAGTGGCAGAAGTTATAATCCGTGGGCCGTCCGATTGGGTCTCAATGATTTAATGGTCTCCAAGCTCCTCTTGTAACCGAAAAGTCCTGGGTTCGAACCCCAGTGGGTGCCTACTGGTGAAGCGCCCCTCACTAGGACGAAACAGCTCCAGTAATCCCATTTTTTCCAATGGTTCTCTAACCGATGTCGAATCTATAACCAATCGAATCCTTGCAAACTCCCACTTACGCATTTAGAAATAACAACATATTCAGCGAAAAATATATTCCTTTTCAATTAGTTCCTCATCATCGGCTCTACATTAATATACAGTTTTTCACATCAAATATTTTACCAATCAGGTGGTTATTTTAGTTAATCAGTTCTAGGCTTAGAGGGGATGAAATTAAGAGGTTAAAGGTCATCAAAACAATTAACTGATAGATGTTACTAACAAGATATCCAAGTCTTATGGGAGAGGTCAAAATTAACTACAGAATTCAAGGTAAGTTGATTCTTAGACGTTAATAACAAGCCATTACGTAATCAAGAAATTTGTAAAATAATGATGACTAAGAAGAATAGGATGGCGCAGGAAAATTACGTAAAATACAAACAAAGAAGTTAATATAATTGAATTTTGGATTCTCCCGTCGACTGATTGGACCGAAGTGCTCGGCCTCAGGTTGACATATCGGCTTCTTGTGCAGATGCTTCGGCGATGTCCGGGCATGTAATTAGAAGATAACTGGTGGATGGTAACTAGCAGTGGAATCCAGGACGAGTCCCAAGTAGTACGGAACGCGCATCCTAGATTCCACTGCTAGTCACCATCCTCAAATTAAATTCTAATTAAATACCCAAACATCGTCAAAGCATCTGGACAAGAAGCCGACATGTCAACCTGAGGCCGAGAACTTCGGTCCAATCAATCGATGGGAAAATCTAAAATTCAATTAAATTAACATGCCCCGTTGCACAAGAGGTGGTCTAGTGGATAACGCTCTGGCGTTTGAAACTATGGGCACTGGGTTCGAGCCTCGGTGGGAACATCATCACTCACTGGGAAATGCAGGTACATCCAGATGACGAGTCCCAAATATGACGAAATGCGCTTTATCCTGGATTTCACTGTTAGTCACCATCCACCAATTATATAAGTCAATAGAATTAGCTAGAATTGTAAAAATTAGCAAAGTCAAAAGATGGTTACAAGGGGAGGGGAAAAATCGTTTCTAAAAGCTTAATACATATTATGTAATTGGCCATGGCAAAGAAAGGGGTTGTACAAAATTTCTTTTGAACACTCAGATTTGGTTTGTTCAGATGAATTCTGATTGCTTCTGCTGTATGCAAAAGTCGTACTCGTAGACCATGCGGGATGTTGGGTGATATAGGATAAATAACTTTAAAAGCTTTATTAGAGTCAACTTGATGTCCACTATCGACGAGATGAGCTAGTGTTGAGTTGCTCATGATGAACCACTTTGTTTAACTGTTGATCAAGCCATATCTCTGGATGAAATTCTGTAGGGATTAGGAATCAGTCGTTTGGTGACATTTACTCTCTATCGTCTATGAAATTTAGAATATATTTTATTTATTACTGCTTCTCATAACCGTTTTCGTCGTCGATTTTAGCATTGTGTTTCTGCTTGTTACCGATTTGTGGATTGTTGCGAATTATACTGATGTGAATTGAAGCAGTGCAGGGCAGAATTCTGTGTTGATGGTGTGTCAACCTGCTCACATTACACTATCTATCATGCATGTTATGAAGTCGACTATGCTCTCTTGTGTTTATCTGTTAATTGAATAGGTATGTCATTAGATATGTCGCTGTTTAACTGTATGTATACTTACCTATTGTGTGAGTCATAACAGGTCAAATTATTCTATCTTGAAAGGGTTTGAGATGTAAACGAAGGGTTTAACAACAGGATGCAGCTGAGATTGTCTAGAGAGAGAGAAAGTGAAAATAATGTCTCATTTTTATTAAACATAAAAATTGGAATAAATTAGAATGATCTGGATGAATTACACAAATATGAACACAGTGAACCTGATCAATTAATAAAATCTAGTTGGTTATTGTTTCACTGATATCAAGGAGTTGAGTCAACACAATCAACAAATAATCTCGGTTTCACTCCAGTGACCAAATAATCTGAACATTACACCCTAACTAATAAGATCAAAGTCGTAACATCTATGATTGTACCACTAAGAGTGACGTGGTTTCTAATACTCTCAGAGGACATCGATCTCTACAACATTGTACACGCGTCTTAAGCATGAAACCAATCGCAAGTTTTTCTACTCTTCACATGGACAAGAAAAAAAAATCTAATCAACTAGCTAAGAAAGACAAAACCATTTTCATGTCACCCCAGAGTATACACAGACTCTTGTAGGAGGCGATTACGTATTAGTTTTATCCACTTGATAAATAACAGTAATAATTTACATAATTTAAATCTACTGTAAAACAATATAATAAAAGTTCTTCAAGTGTTGGTATGTAGGGATTTGACTGGTTACAGGATTTCATCATGAGCTGACACTTGTTAGAGAACCATTGGAAAACCTGGGAGTACTGGACAGCTGTTTCGTTCTAGTTGTGGACTCCTCACCAGTACGCACCCACTGGGGTTCGAACCGAGGACCTTCTGGTGACAAGGTGAGCTCGTATACCATTAAGCCACTGGGACCCGATCCAATGGCCTATGAATTCTAACTTCTGCCAATTCACGATATAGCGCAATCGCTAGCCAATGTCTTCGGCGAGTATTTGTCCTCACACCCGACTTGCTGCACCCTACTGGTCACGACCTCTCACTAGAACCCCATGTAACTGCCTACCTAAATAGGGCAAGTCGCTAGTGAACATCTCATTGATATTCAAGTGTTGGTTTGTAGGGATCGGGTCCTAGTGGCTTAATGGTATACGAGCTTGCCTTGTGACCAGAAGGTCCTCGGTTCGAACCCTAGTGGGTGCGTACTCCTGAAGATTCCCAAACTAGGAAGAACTAGCTGTCTAGTACTCCAAGGTTTTCCAATGGTTCTCTAAGTAATGTCAGCTCATGATGAAATCCTGTAACAAAAGTTCGCTTTATACGCTTTGCCTGGCTAAAAATGAGATAACATTGTCTGCTACGAGAAGCCTATTGAGTTAAGTTCATATGAAATGATTCTCACTTGTATAATAATAATAATAATATCATTATGCTACGTGTGTACAAACAAAATCAAAAAAGTGTTATATATCATTACTAATCCTCAAATGTTATCGTTTACGTCTTTTTAAGAAATTCGCCTTTAAAATTACCAATGTAACATTGAGCTTAAAATGTATTCTTACAATCATTTAATGATGAATTAAACATAAAGAATAAAAGTGGAACTGTCTTAGTTGGTTGTGTGATTTTGATGTACAGGTTTATTTAGTAAATGTTTTAAAAAAATTAAGAGATGGTAAATAATAATAATAATACTTTTAATAATACTTGAGAAAGCTATTAGCATTAAATAGCGAAACGTCAGTAAAAACAATATCGTTTTGTTTTTCATTCATTGGGAAATACAAAAAAAACCTTTATTATAATGAATAATAATAATTCTTTAAAATTATAAGCTTATAGGCTTCATCATTTGACATTCAGTGTTGACCTTCACCGTTTAAATTGATTGGTTGAACTGAAGGTGAGTAGTCAGTACACCCACGCTGTTGTGTTATGTTTAGTTGTTCATGCAAACACACACACACATTATAGACATCACCGCTTTGTATTTCTGTCACCGAAATGTGTTTCGTACTTTGGACAATCAATCATTTTGTTGTTTTGATTTGACTTTAGAACGATTGTTTGGTCTAAGTCGGACAAGTACACTTGCATATGCATGCAGTACA